AGTATCATATAGTATCATATAGTATAATATAGTATAATATAGTATAATATAACATAATGTAAGTCACGGCAGAGCCTCAGAACTGCAGAGTTAGAGTTGCGGGTCGTGTGACTTCAGGACAACGAAGAGCACCTGGGGTTCGTGCACAACGATGCGAACCTTCGAACCTCTGTTCGTGCCGTTCGGGCAATGGCCGAATTCGCAAGCAAGAAGCCGAACCTCTTTGGCATTCAGGTCATCAGCGAGCCGCACTTGCACACGGATGAGGGGCACGAGTTCCTTCGGTCCTACTATCAGCAAGCCATTTTGGCTGCTCGGGAATTCCTCGACAGGACGGTTCCGGTGGTTTTGTTTGAGTGGACCTATGAGATGCACCGCTGGGAGGCCGGGGCCTTCCCGGAATCGACCTATGGCAGAGTGATCTGGGACACGCATCTCTACCACTTCCCCGAGTCTGGCCAGAAGTGGACCTCGAGAGACCAGGGCCTGGAGAAAGCCAAGGAGGCCTACGCCTGGGATCTGCAGCAGCTCCGGCACTTCTCCCGGGCGCAAGGCGAGACGGTCTTCGTGGGGGAGTTCTCCCTTGCAGGGCCCAGCTTGAACATGAAGGAAACGCGTGAGTTTGCCCAGTGGTTGGTCGAGCAGTTTGACTTTGCTTGTGCTGGCTCCTTACTTTGGTCCTTCGATAACTCCATCACTGCTTGGAGCATGCAGAGACAGATACAAGAGTGGGGTCTGGACTGGAAGTCTATCCTTCGTGGCGAAGGTGGTCGTACAGTCGAACATCCACCAATCAAGATTGAAGCTGCCCCCTTCGGCACTTGGCTTACTGCTACGGAGAAGGGTGCTGTGCAGGCAGATGCCCCAGACCCCTCCTGGTGGGAAGAATGGGTGCCATACTCCTATCAAGTTAACGGAAAGTCGAAGCTTGCATTACGTTCTGCTGCTCATGGGACTTGGCTCAGCGTGACACAGGAGGGCGAGGTGATCCAGTCCGATTGCCGCTCCGCTTGGGAAGAGTTCTCGGTCCTCTTTCTTGAGAAGACGGAAGACGGAAGGCAGTGCATCTCACTGCAATCCTTCCATGGCTCATGGCTTGCAGTGCGACGTCCCCGGCCGACTGATCAACTCCTACTCTCCGCTCGGATCGATTCCGAGGCAACCGCCTGGCTTCTGGCATAAGACCGATAAGCCTTGATACTCTAGTAGATACTTTAGGTGTTTCACACGCAGGACCTTTGAATGTTCGCTTCGTAGTTTGTCAGACTCCTTGTATGCTAAACATGCACACAAGGTTAGAAGTCCTGACAGGTTTGGGAGGCCTAGGGAATCGACGAAGTCTCCTTACTCGTAGGATGCTAGAACTGTTTGCTCCAGGGATGTCGGTTTCCCGATCCCTCCTTAATTGTCTTCATGGCCTATTGCACCGTTGCGCGGCTTTAGAAACTTTACAGAGCTGTACATCCTAGCCCGACGAAACCTGGCGGGCCGTTACCGGTTCTTACGAGCGAAGCCCTGCAACGGTGTGCGTTTAATGTTAAACGATGGACTTGTGCGACGTCCTTGAATAGCTGCGGCCGTTGTTCCTCTCAAGATGTCCGCAAGCCTGCAGAGCCATTCGAAAAAGAGGTGCGAGCCGGGTGCTGGCACACGACCGATAAGGCGTATCATTGCTCATGGCCCGGGGACCACACCCGCAACAAACTGCCGAACATGGCTCTCACCACCTCACAGGTGCCCATGCCTCGTCATGGTGATCGCTTCTGTCCCAGGTTGATGCCATCGACTTGGACTCGGACCCTGAGAAGCCCAAGAAGAAGAAGCGGAAGCAGGCCAGAATTGCGTGGTGCAAAACGATCCACAATCAGTCTATGTTCTCGGAGCGACGCTCCCTGGCGATGCGACACGATCATGATGCATTTGTCTACCAGCCCATCGAGTGGCAACCTTCAGTGGATGCCTTGCATGGCTGCGGTCTAATCTCTGCTGGCATGCTCTGCCCTGCCCAGGCGCACGCAGAAAGGAGGGAGCCGGAGCATCGCAACAAGGCAGAAGACTGTGTTCATGCAAGTCAGCGCATCTGATACACGTATCTCCCAGGCTCCGCCTGAGGCTCGGCCGAAGCCTGTTCGACAGGTCCGCCGCAGCACAGACGGGATCATGTCCGACTCGTGCTGTGACCGTGTGTTCATAATGCGTGGCCTTCACTCTAGGAGAAGCACGCAGAGAAGGCTAAGAAGAAGCCGGAGAAGGAGAAGAAGAGCAAGAAGCACAAGAAGCGAAAGGAGATCAAGAATGATGCGCGTCGGGTGTAGATGCATTTGTGAATAGACCACGCTTGAAAGTCCTCACCGGTTGAGGATCATGGTGACTATGCTGACGCCGGGATGATGAGCCACGGCGCGATGTTTACGCCGATGATGGGCATGATGAGGCACAGGGACAGCTTCGCTTGGAATGCTGCTGCAGCTCTGTTACACTGTTACATCTCGAGAGTAGGAGGCTGCTTCCGTAAAAGGGTTTCAGTCTGCGACAGGTCGATGAGCTATGGCGTCATGCCTGGGATGACCATGATGATGATTCTCTGCCTCAACACGCTACCATACATTTTTCTCATCATTGTTCTTTACCCTCCTCTTCTTCTTCATGTTACCATAGCCATGATTCTCGCACTTTTATGGCTACGACTATTTGTTTGTTATCATTGTTATTATCTTCTTTTGTCAGGCTTTCTCAGCTCAGAGAATCCCCTCGCTTCTACCAGGATCACATCTCGTATGCACAGATTGAGGCTCGAGGATTGAGAGAAGTGTGCATTGCAGCTTCCGGGATCATGTGGCCTTCCGGTGTTTTCTTTTTTGGGGTTTGGGGGCTTGAGGTTTCGGGCGGAGGCTGGGTTCAAGAATCACGGAAAGCAGCTGTGGGGCAGCCAGTGTACCATCCTAAATCATACAGTTCTAGCCCGAACTGAGTTGTTGAAGCTGAGCTTTTCCTGTGGAGCTGCGAGTAGCGCGATCGCATGTTGGCGGGCTGCCAAGGATGCCGGGGATGATTGCTCCCGGGCTGATGGGCGGCCATGCCACTTCCCTACAGTCGTATGCTTCGATTTGTGATCAAAAAACACACTCAGAATTAGGCTTTAGCTCCTAGTTTCAACAGGTTGGCCAGATGGCCATGCATGGAGCTGCGGCGATGCCCTACTTTCCGCCAGGCCCTGCCTTCTTGCTGCAAGCAGCAGCTCATCAGACTCTTCGAGTGTCCTTCAACTTTCTGAAGTTGCATGTTGGTATGTGCCCCAAATTTGTCGGATGCAGGTGCTCCTGCAATCGCACCAGGATGGCAGGCGGGAAGCACGTAAAGATAAGAAAGTGACGGCCATTCCCGCACCTGAACCGATGGATCCAGCTTTGCGTACCAGGCAGCATCATACCCACCACTTCTCCCGGCTTGCAGGCAAGGAAGCCTGCTGCTTCGACCAAGCCGGAAAAGGCCCTTTGTCGAATTCTTTAGGTTAGGGTTGCATTCATTTTGGATCCGTACAGGTTTTGACCTGTGCCCACCCATCGCAGCAGAGTCTTCCAATCCAACACGGAGGTCTCGGTCGCAGTCGAGGATGCCCGGGAAGAAGCTCAGGCTTCCCTCACCAGCTCCTGACACGCTGTCAGTCTCGCGTTGAAATCTTTGCGATTCTTGGAACGGCTCAATCCTCCTTGCTATCAGTCAGGCATGGAAGCAGTACTTGAACTGACAGAGTACGAGTCAGAAGTCACTCCTACTCAAACCGAAATGCGAAATCCAAATGTAGATGCATCTAGGAGCACTGTGAGTGCATGTAGCCCCTGCGGCTGTTCCCAAAACCAGAATGGGCATGTTGCGCAATGCAGCACGAAGCGCCAAGCTTGTGATGGGCGGAGCGACAGCGGGCCTAGTTGCAGGCACAGCTGGGACGGTGCATCTCGCACAAGGCGGGGGTGGACAAAGCTGGTGGGCGAAGCAGTTCAAGCTGCAGTTCTTTCAGCCCTTCGTGACCCAGAACAACTCAACTGCAAGTGATGAGACAAGTCCGCGGGATCTCCAAGCTCTGTACCAGTGCCTTCGCTGCATGCGTCGGGCTGGCTTTTGAAGTGACCGGCCGGTATAGTTATTCTTGCAACCTATGAAAAGCATCTGCTCCAGGCATTCAGGGCAAGTATGCATGTCTTTGTACAGAGCGCTGCCAGACGACAGCAACCGCGGGAGTCGTGCCAGAAACGGTGTGTCCGTCCTGCTGCCTGGTCTCGTCATACTGGGACGTCTGCAGTTGCTGTCTTTGATGACGGAGTCACGGTACGTTTCCCTAGCCCCTAAATCATCCAAAAAGCCGTAAAGCCTACATCCTAACTTGCCGATGTTAGGTAAACTTCTGAGGCAGAAGATGGCAGCTCTGGAGCTCGTCGCGGAGATGCACAGGGAGGAGATTACAGAGTTGCGTGGAGATGCCAGGAAGGCGAACAGCAACGCCTCCGTGGGCGCGGTCCTGCCCCCGAATTCTACGGAAGCCGCGGAAAGTCCTTCCCTTGAAAAGAAGCAGGCAGACCTTGCAAACGAGAAGCTCGGACAGGGCTCTTGAAACTTACAGACGCTGTGAGTGAGTGTGTGTGTGTGTGCGTGCTTTGTAGCTGCTCGAGGGAGATACTCCGTAGTGTGTGCGAGAAGGCCAGAACTGATTGCCAGGACATTTGTACAACGAGCTTAATGAATTGCAGGGGCTGCGTGCGGCAGAAGAGAAAGCGCGGGAGGATTTGCAAGGACTGAGCTTCACAGTTTAGCTGCAGACGTATTTTTGTCAGAGGTAGGCAGACGCAGCCCGATAAAATTCTGACATTTCTCACCGTCCTTGAGTTTTGAGGCCAGGCTCCAGGGCAGAATCCACTGATACCCAAGTGCTTGGATGCTATGCCGCTATGCTCAACTATGCGTTGGCTGAAGAGAGTCCATGTTCGCCCTCAACTGCTGATTCCCCACAGGGACTTCTCTGCACAAGCCGGTATAAGACAAGGCAAGTATGCGTCAAGGAGGTCACGTGGTCACGCAGTTGCCTTGGAATCCACCCTCGGGAAGTCGTTTCCCAAAACTCGACCCCCTCCTAACTCCCCTTTGGCATTCAATAGCTTATTTCGTCGGGAGCTGGGACTGTCTGTAGGGACCCAGTGGTTTCGATAGAGGCGGATTGTACGCTCGACAAAACACTGTGTTGGACACTTTATGATGCGCAGGACAGCTCGCTCGGAAAGCTGCAGACGTCATCCAGCTGCAGCAGGCCGCTGTTGCTGTAGCAACTTTATGCAATCAAGTTTCGAAAACGCAGCATTTCGACCTGAGCTTGAGATTCCTGGTAAATCCCCCTTCAAGTCAGCATGTGCGAGCAGGAGTTGGATGCAAGGAAGCAGGAAATCGAGCGTGCCAAGAAGTTGAGCAGCGATGACATCCAATCGCAGCAGCTTGAGAACAGCAAGCTCGGACAGGGTTTGAAGTCCCAAGTTTGCCTGCTGTTTTCTCTGGCCTGGTATGAAAGTCAGGTGAGGCCCTGGACCCTGAACCCTAAATCCATCAGGACAAAGGTACGCTGAACTCAAGAAGAGCGAGGCGAAGAAGGAGCAAACCATCACCGAGCTCCAGCAACTGCGCATCTCAGAAGAGAAAAGCCGGAGCGAGCTACGAGGACCCCAAAGTCTCGGGCCGAAGCTTCCAAAGCCTCAAGCATACATGGTTTTGGAACAAGGACCGCGGAGGAAGTAAGCCAGGAAGGGAGGCAGGAAGGGAGAGAAGAAGGGAGAGAAGCACACAACCATTGAAACCAAGAGCAATGAAGGAAAGGAAGAAAGAAAGGACGAGATGAGGAAAAAAGACATAAGTAAAGGAATGAGCAACTTGGAGCGGTGGGTGTTGCCTACTTCCACCACTCCTCCTCCTCCTCCGCCCTCCCCAGACCCGTTTTTTTGGATGTGGACAGAGTTGTGGGGCGGGGTGGGGCGGGGGGGGGGGGGGGGGGTTTGGGATAACACCAACAATGTGCAGTTTACTGGATCAAGGTTTTTCGCTGAGCATGGCAGCACGTCCAAGCCAGACCTGCCCAAGCCAATCATGTTTGCTCAGAAGGTCAGTAATAAAGAAAACTCAACCATATACGATTCAATATACGGTTCAATTCGAGGAAGAAAAGGAAGACACAGACAAAGAACAACATTAAGTTAAGGTGCAGCCCTGAACACTGAATCATGGTGTGATCCGCGAAGAATCGAGTGGACAGCATGCCAAGCCAAGCAAGGACATCAGTGACAGTAACAATGTTGTCAGCAGTTTTTTCTGCATAAGATTTGCGAAGTGACGTCTGGCTCCAATCAACCTTCGCCTGTGGAAGGTCTATGCTAGCCACTCCGAGGGCAACTAGAAAAACTTTGCATACACAGACTCTCGCCTCTCGTGAATCTTTCTCCGTCAAGCAGTTGTCGTCGATCTGACGTGTCACTTGACAGGCTCCTGCGGCTCCTGGGGCTACGTGACTACCAGCTCTAGTTTCCTAGAACAATTTCTTACGTAACGCACATCACAATTCAGGGACAGAGTGCAAAGGCCAGACGGTCCTCAATCGAAAGCAGTGCTGGTGAAGTGCTGAAGTACCTGGTCGGTAGCCGAATCGTAGAGAATTATATCGCCTTGGATTGCAGTTCCTGTTGGCGCAAACAGCTCTCCCGGCCAGCACAGGACAGATGAAGCTGAAGGATTCCGAGTTGTCCCAGCTGCAGAAGGTCGGCCGAGAATCCCAGCCCGCCTTAGATGCATCTTTCTGCTTAGCAGCGAGCATGAGAATGAAGCGACAGCCAAGAGCTGCACTCTGGCTCACTGTGTCAGGCTCTAGAGAAAGCATCAAAGGAGACGGAAGAAGCTACAAGAGCGAAGAGCAAGGCAGTTGCATCCATGGAAGCGAAGCTGAATGCGCAGAAGATCGAACACGAGAAGCTAGGACGGGCTTTTAAATTTAGCTCTGGCAAAACGACAACGGCCTTGTCCTTGTTGAAAGACTCGCAAGGGCACTGCTTCGGTTCTTTTTTGGCGACGTGGCAGGAACTAAGTACTCGGAGCTGCAGGCTGCTGGTAAGAAGCAGGAAGAAAGGATTGCAGAGCTGGACGGACTGTATTCGCTGGAGCAGAAAGGTCAAGAAGAGCTACGAGGACTTTTGAAACATCTCCTCCGGACAGTGTGGCATGCATGGTCTTAGATCTGCGAAGGCTCCTGCATCTTGCGCTTCTCTGCAGATGCCTTTGCAGTAAAACCCATAAAGTTTGCCCTAACGGCATGAGGATAACGAGGTTCTGATTGCTTACGGCTCAGGAGTCCTCATCTCTGTCCACAGCCATGGCTCCAGCTTCCAAACTGCTTCAGGACAGCTCACCGAGAAGGCTTCGCAGATGGCCCAGCTGCAGCAGGTGGGCCAAAAGCGCAGTCTGTGCCGGATTGTCGAATTGGGACAAGAACGGTTCATGAAGCATACCCCATGATCATGATCATGGCATGCCTTTGAACGCAGACAACTAAGCTGATTTCAGCCGGCGCATGACAACAAAAGCTCTGAAATTTACCAGTCTTTTTCGGTTTCCTGCATGCAGGACTTGGACAAGGCAGCACAACAGATGGAGCAACTGGACAAGTCGAAGAGTGATGCGGTTGCAGCAATGGAAGAGACTCTGAACGCCCAGCGCATCGAGCATGACAAGCTAGGACAGAGTTGCTAACTCACAGCTGCAGATTGCAAAAGCAATGTAACCTTAAGTGTACCCACAGCGTATCGCAAAATAAGCAGTAGCTGAGCAGCCGCTGCAAGCGCGAAACAACACTCATAGGCGCCTGTGCTCGCAAAGGGCATATCCATAGGATGCACATGGTCAGAAGACCTCCTAGGATCGGGCCATTAAGATTAGTGAGCTAAATCAGGCCACCCCGCACTGGAGCTTCCCGAACAGGCAGCGTGTATGTGACCTCAAGGAACCAGCATCGCTGTGAGATTGTCCAGCACACAGGACAGATGCACGCCGCTCTGAAGTCCGAAGACGCAAAGAAAGAGGCGAGAATCGCCGAGCTGCAGTCGCTCTATGCATCTGAGCAGAAGGGGCGCGAAGAAATGCAAGGACAGACATGAAGAGAGCACTCCCACTCGACTAGCCTTTTTTTCAGTGTTGGCCAAGAGTTCCAGGACAGCTCGAGCAGAAAGCGCAAGATCTGGGCAGGGTGAGTCAGGCCCACGCCTACTAATTTGGTTCCCCCTTGAGCCTTCCTTATAATTACATGTAACGCAGGGTTCTTACTAATTGAGGTCTATAGTGGATTCCTTATTCCGATTCCGCATTTTGTTTCTGCTCTTGGCTACGAGTATTGGCTTGTTGCTATGTGCCTGTGTGTCCTTGCTCCCATCGTTGTTTTGTCGATGGACCACCAGTATCGGACACATTGAGATTGTATATAGAAGTCGTCGTCATAGCATTATTGATTATGATCTCTGCTCTCCTTGCCAGTTGATCATCATGGTCTTCTGCTCTAACTGCCGTCATCTCAACCCTTGTCCGCCCTAAACCCTAGACCCCTAAGCCCTTAACCTATAGATATGCCAGTGTGATTGATGTGATTTCTCCTCTTACGGCCTGGCTTTGAATCAGGGGCTTGAGATCGCCATGCGGGACATGTCTGCCTTCAGAGCTTCAAAAGCCGAGGACAGGGCTGTGCCCAACAGGTTGCAGGGTTCAGGCTTTCATGGTTTAGGGCCTGCTTAGGGTCGAGGTATCAGTTCAGGGAAGCTAAGAGTTTAGTGGTTCGGGTTCCAGGCTCAGGGTTTAGGGTCAAGATCTCTGGAGCCAACGCCACCGAAAGGTCGGATGAAGAAGGCATCCATGCAGTTCTATTCCGACTTCCGGAGCCTTCCGGATGATGGAAAAGCATCAGCGGATAGGGAACCCTGACGTAGACCAACACGTTGGCAGGTGCGAAGTTCTGTGAAGCACAATGTCAAAGTTCCTGTGCAGGAGCTACGCAGCCTGGCTGAGGCCATGAAGCAGAAGGAGGCTGCTTCTTAAGCAATCGGCATGGATCTCTGTTTTGTGCCAGTAGGCCCTTGGAGGAGTTACGGCTTTTGCCCAGGCGCTGCTTTCGGAGGCTCAAGGAGAGTTGGAGAAACTCCGGGCGCGGGAGCAGGAGGCCTCCACCCAACTGCAGAAGCTGCAGAACCCCGCCTGCAAGCAGGGCGTCGATCGTGTTTCGGGGCCTAGCAACACAGCAGATGTGACGAAGGGATGGGTGTTTGAGCAGTGGCCACGCTTGCATTGCATGCAGCATGCATGATGAAACAGTCGTTTCTGACATGTGCAGAGAAATTTAGAAACTTACGTGTGTCAAGTATGGTCTCGGTTGCGTCATTTGATCTGTCGATGCATGTAAGGCAGTGGAAGGATGAGAGCGAAAAGATTAAAGAGCGCTTTCTTCGGGAGAAGCTCTCGCACATTAAGATTGATCTGTAGGCTCTGTGTGACCACGCAGAACACCTGCGAGGTTTACACATGAGCCTACTGAATCTGCATACCTGGTGGTTCGAAGGTTGTGACAACCTGTCGAAGCCAGCATCCGTAGCACATATCAGAGGCAAGGCCTGAGGGCGATCATCCGGCACACTTCCTGTGCCACTTCTCCGTGGACTCCCCATGAGCATTGCTTTAAAAATCCTCGAGACTGCACACGATTGACACGGCCTACGCTTGCATGAACTTTGAAGAACATCAGCTCCATACAGTCTTCAGATGTTGAAAACATCCCAGCCGGCAGGCAGTCGCTGCGGTGCCAAAGGCTTTAGCATCTTCATCTTCTTCGTCATCTTCGTCCGATTCTCAAGAATTTGCTCATTTAGTGAGGCTGAGCTTCTGAACGAGAGCAGCTTTACAGAGTGTAACTGTCGTCAAGCTTCCCATGAGAAGGCTGGCTTGCACAGACCATCGTAGTAGTAGTAGTAGTAGTACTACTACTACTACTACTACTACTACTATACTAGTATACTACTATACTACTATACTACTATACTACTATACTACTACTACTACT